CACAAAATAAAGTTCTTCCAAAGAGTGCTACACATATTGACACAGATTTAAATTCCAGGCTTTATAATGTTTTTGGCTCCACCCACTGATGTTGAACTCAACCAATGAGATGATTTCTGTCTGCAGGATTTAAAGCACAACCAGCCTGATGCTGAGGAGAAGGGCTGCAGCAGAGAGACTGCATAGTTTCTTTATTCTGAGGTCTATTACAGTTTCTCTAATGTTAGAATCATCCTGTCTCAGAGTGATGCTGAAAAAGTAGTTCATGCATTTAGGTGGGACTACTGTAATTCATTATTTTCAGGTTGTCCTAAAAACTCCCTGAAAAGCCTTCAGTTGATCCAAAATGCTGCACCAAGAGTACCGACAGAGAACCAGCTTCCAGTTTGGTTTCAGGAGACAGACTATCTCTACTTTTAAGATTAGACTTCAAACTTTCCTTTTTGCTAAAGCATAAAATTAGGGCTCAACCAGGTGACCCTGAATCCTCTCTTAGCTATGGTGCAATAGAGGTAGGCTGCCGGGGATTCCCATGATGCATTGGGTCTTTGAGTATCAGCTGAGATGGGGGTAATGCCAAAGAGCTCTCAAAACAGATTTGACAGGACACCACCAAACACCAAAACCTTTGGACGAAAGACAACAGAATACTCGTGGAGGGGTAAGTTGTCCCGGTGAGCCTGATACACATCTTGAGCGGAAATCCAAGCATTTCCAGAAAGCTGGGCAGGGAGGCAGGCAAGTGAGAGCAGCCGTGAAGCAGCTCAACAAACCAGCGACTTAATAGAGGTTAGTTATGGCAGGATGGAGAATTACTGTGAGCAGAGATTGAAACAGGTGAGAACGAGCAATACTGTGATACATTATTTTCAACTATGACGTCCAACACTAACCATGGTTAGCAGGCGATCTGGCGAGGAGTGATTGTGAGCGCTGGTCTTAAAAGCCGGCATTGTGCCAAAAAAGTGTTTGCCTGCCAAAACTGATTTCCAATGTTTCCGTGTGTAATATCTTTATGTATGCTGGTAAATAGACATCGGTGAACATGGTTTACAAAGGGGTTTTATATATACAATAATTAGCTGTTGTTCAAGTATCTTTATAACTGGTTATAATGTAGGTACAGTTGATATATTTGTTGCGCTATCTGCTGTCCTCTTGGCCAGATTACACTTAAAAAATAAATTTGTAATGTCAACAAGATTGTTTGTGAACTGGATAAATAAAGGATATATAAAAGTCACT